TGGGTTCTTGGCAAGGAACTCATCAGGCATAGCGGCGCGGAAGCGAGCCTCACTAGTGCGGAGGTGGGTAATGAGATCAGCGACAGTGTGGAAGGAAGCTAGGTCGGGGAACAGGTAGGGAAGAGAGAGACGGCCTAGAGCGGCAGAGGCCGGCGAGGAGTAGCGGGCAACGACAGCAGTGTACAGTGCCTGTGTAGTCTTGTGCTGCCCAAAGTGCTCGCGCTCATCTATCGGCAGAGAGTTGCAAATAGCGAAGCGAGTATGGGCGTCACGAGTCTTCCACTGTGAGCGGGCAGTGCTGTCAGCAGTAGCAGCAGGAGCAGTAGCGTGGCCTAAGGCATGATCGTACAGCGAGATGTCTTCCTTGGCAGTGAGCTGTAGGAAGAGGTGTAGGTCATCAAGCCAGGTGTCGAACTTCACTGGGCGGCCCTCAGTATCGAAGGCTAGGACAGGAGGGCTAGCCATGGTAGCAGCAGTAGGAAAAGCAGTAGGAGCAGTAGGGTAGGTAGGGCGGCACGGCTCGGTACAAGTAGGGCGGCGCGGCTCGGTATAGGTAGGGCGGCGCGTCTCGGGTCGGGCGGCGCGGCTCGGTTCGGGTCTGGCGGGGCGGCTCGGGTCGGGCGGCGCGGCTCGGTTCGGGCGGCTCGGGTCGGGCGGTGCGGCTCGGGTCGGTTAGGGCTGGCGGCTCGGATCGGGCGGCTCGGTTCCGTTAGGGCTGGGCGGCTCGGGTCGGCTCGGTCCGGGCTGCTCGGTCTGGGTGGGGCCGTTCGGGGTCGCTAAGGGCGAGCGCGGGGAGCGGGTGGGGCCGTGAGGGACGAGCGCGGGGCCGACGTGGGTGCTAAGGGCGAGCGCGGGGCCGACGTGGGTGCTAAGGGCGAGCGCGGGGCCTATCGGGGCCGTGAGGGACGAGCGCGGGGCCGATCGGGGCCGTAAGGGACGAGCGCGGGGCCGACGTGGGCCTCTAAGGGCGAGCGCGGGGCCTATCGGGGCCGTGAGGGACGAGCACGGGGCCGATCGAGGCCGGTAAGGACGAGCGCGGGGCCGACGCGGGCCTCTAGGGGTAAGCGCGGGGCCGATTCGGGGCCTCTAGGTGCGAGAGCGCGGGGCCGACGGGGCCTCTAGGGGCGTGAAAGCCGAGGCGCCCTAGGGCGCAGGTAGGTAGGTAGGCAGTGGTGGGCCCTAAAAAAATCGGTCCTAGGAAGGACCTGCTCTATACCATGTTGAACAAGAATGGATGAACTAAGGGTGAAATGGGTACAAGTATGAAAACCTAGGAATGTGTACCCCCTATAGGCTAACCCACTGTAGCCTAAACAACTACAACAACATATATAATGTTTGACAGTACTCTGTCGGCGGACATATTCTGTCAGCCTCTCAGACGAACCAAACCGCAGGCACAGCAAGGTCAATCAGGGAAGCATCCCTTCTGTTGTACAAATGCACACTAGACAAATAGCAAAGAACGGTTTGTAGGAGAGCTATCGCTGTCATTAACGTTGGAATTCTACGAAGCATTAGGTGCATAAAACTGAAGTGCATGTAATGGATCGTTGATTAAAGAGAGGCCTAGTTGGCTGCGTCACTTTCGATTGAGGTTCCGAGGTACTCTGTCGGCCGACATATTCTGTCAGCCTCTCAGACGAACCAAACCGCAGGCACAGCAAGGTCAATCAAGGAAGCATCCCTTCTGTTGTACGAATGGACACCAGACGAATAGCAAAGAACGATTTGTAGGAGAGCTCTCGTTGTCATGTACGTTGGAATTCTACGAAGCATTAGGTGCATAAAACCGAAGTGCATGTAATGCATCGTTGATTAAGGAGAGGCCTAGTTGGTTGCGTCACTTTCGATTGAGGTTCCGACGTATTCTGTCGGCCGACATATTCTGTCAGCCTCTCAGATGGGCCAAACCACAGCCACAGCAAGGACAATCAAGGAAGCATCCCTTTCTGTTGTACAAATGCACACCAGACGAATAGCAAATAACAATTTATAGGAGAATTATCGTTGCTATGTACGTTGGTATTTTATGAAGCATCAGGTGCATAAAACCGAAGTGCATGTAATGCATCGTAGATTAAGGAGAGACCTTGTTGGCTGCGTCACTTTGGATGAGTGAGGTTCTGACGTATTCCGTCAGCCCACGTATTCTGCCAGCCTCTCAGACGGGGGTTCGCACACGCTCATTTTGAGATTGGATATACCTCAACCTCGTTCACCTAGCAAGTAAAAATAATTGGGGAGGCGGGTTACGACTGACATCCAGGTGTGGGTAGCACCTACAGGGGTTTTCCTGGTAAAGGTTGTAGAGGAAACCTCATTTGGTATTAACCCGGCTTCCAATCATAATCCTCTCCCAAATGAGTTGCAAAACCCCTTTCTGGGGGGCTGGCAGAACTCGCCAGCACTAGGGGTTTGAACGAGGAACCTGATCCTACAATGGTACTCTACAAACCGTCTGGTTCATAAATCCGAAGTGTATGTAGCGCGAAACAGGGTGTACCCGTAGATTTAAGGAGAGGGAGAGGGAGAGGGAGTAGAGGAGAGAGGACGGGCCACACGTGTGCGAGAATGTGTGGAGGTATGGCGCCGAAGAGTGGGACCTTCCCTGCAGTCAAACCCCCATGTTCATTCTGGCAGCAAGCTCCCACTGCACCTACACCTGAGGGCTTCGGCCAGCTGTCGTCGTCGCCCTTGCTGCACCTGACAGTTACGGATCTTGTCTACAGTACCGCACGTTGCGAGACCTTCACTTCATGTTGTGTCGCGTCATCTATGCCTTCGCCTGCGCCAAGTCCTGCGATTGACTACAGAGACTCTACCCCGCCGGCAGAGACTCCACGTCGCCGCGGTCGCCTTCTGCCGGCATGGATGACGGTGCCGACCCCTGACTGGGTTGCCCAATCTGCTCGCCGGCAGGAGCTTATCGACGCTGGCGCTCCCGCCGTGATGAGCGGATATCTCGCTGCGGCAGAGTGGATGAGGCCGTGAAATTCACTCTGCATTGTGCAAATTTCAGCATTTGCACAAGTGTGCACGACTCATGCACACATGTGGTAAACGGTGACTGCATTACATAGCAGGGCCGGGGAAGGGGGGGGGGGGGGGGGGGGGGGGGGTTGTTTGTCGCGGCAGAGACAGTTGTGGCTATCCCATTCGTTCACTGATGTTTGTGATGAAGGGAGAGGTGAATTGTAATTGCATGTGATAGTCTGGTCTCGATAAAAGTGGTAACCCAGTGCATTAGCTCGCAACAAAGGACGCCGCCCAACACTATACATGGAAAAAACAAACATGTTACCGCCTGTGCTTTTTAAAAGCACCCGACGGCCCAGGCGATGTTGACGAACCATGCGAAAAGCGCAGATCGGTTATAAGCCCAGAGCACAAGGGAACGACGGGGGACTATAACGCGCATCAGGTGTACCCTTAATTTCACACCGCGGCTCGGTGTCACTTCGGGGTCCTCAGTCCAACTTTCTTGGAAGCCGAGCTGCCAAAGTGTGGTTGAACATCTAGGCCCTGTTCGGTAGCCTTCCAGTCACACTGGGCCCACTCGAACTGGGGAGGCCTACGACATGTTTCGTAGCCTCAGGCATCCACTCACACTGAAAGGAAGTCTCGTTCCCAAATGCAAGAAGTTACCGCATGTTTCTTGGGAAATTACTTGCCGAAACTTTTACAGCTGTTCGAGGCTGCCCCAACCACAAACAGAAAATCAGTCCGCCAAATGAAATGCCGTCGATATGGAAAAAGAAAATCAGGAACGTGCACGCTCTCTCATCGTTTGAAAGAGCGTGCTAAAAAACCTTAATTTGACCCGATTCGAAACTAGTGCAGCGTATACCCTCCAGTCTGCCATTCTGAGCGGGCCTGCCTGGGTTGAACTGGAAAGCTGAAATGGGAGGGACTTCCACTGACTGTCGAGTTTGCCTGGGCGCGACAGTTTCGTGGTAGTATCCTCACACGCAGTTGAAGTGGGGTTTTTATTCCTTCGGTAGCCCAGTTGCACTGGACAGGCTCGGTGTTCTAATAACGGTTTGTTGGGTTTTAATTGATTTGAATTTAGGAAACAGAAGATCCCACGCACCAACCACAGTATGACTGGGAAGGCTACCGAACAGGGCCCTAGACTCCCCCCCCACAGAAATGACGCAATATTTACTCGTGAGGCTGAGATGGAAGCCACAACTTCTAAAATATTCGGGGCGTATTCTTGGTGAGATTCGGACTAGGAAATTTGACTTCGTATCGTGTGAGCTTGCTGTAAATTTTGAACTTCGTATTCCTCCAAAACAGTGTCAACGTTTCATAGGCCTACATGAACTTCTTCGAAACAAAACTGAGCAACGCCCTGATTCTGTTTTGTGTGTGAACCCAGCCCCACGCAATCCTGACGTGGTGATGTGGCACTGGCTGGATAAATTTCCCTGAGATCGTGCGATGTACTTTATCCATATCAGCTGCAGGCTTTGCGACTCGTGTGTGAAATTAACCATAAATTTTTTGCTCTGTCAAATTTCACACCCTCTCGGGCAAACGTTAACGCGACTCGGGTATGTCCCCCCGTGAAATTACCGGAGAATAGGTGTAGATTTATTTCAAAAGAGCGCCTACAACGCTGGATGCGTCCGCCCCCCTCCACGTATAACGACAAAATCTGCCTTGGGCAGAGCCATCCGCGGTAACCCCGCCTCGCCGCGTACTAATCCTCTTTTGCCGCGCCTCCCCGCGCAGCCTTACTGCCGCCTTGCCGACCCTTGCCTTGCCGACCCCCGCCTTGCCGACCCCCGCCTTGCGAGCATCCCGCCTTACTCCATTTGCCGTAGAATCGCTGCCTTCCGTCATCCGCCTTCCCGTAACGCAACCGCCGCGTCGCCTTGCGCCATCCGTCTTACCGTCCCGTCTCGTCCCATCTCGTCCCGCCGACCCGTTGCGTCCCGTTCCGTCTCGAGCCATGCTGGTGAAACTCCCGTTCCTCCCGTCGAATGCGCGCCATGGGATTGGACCCGCGCCGCCTCGCGCTCAAAGTCGTGCGCGCAGCCGTCGCTATAGCGCCGCTCCACGCCATGATGGCGGAGCTTCCGCCACTGGCGGAAACCACGGCGGGCGGCGGAGGCAGAGTGGACGGCGGGGGACGCCTAGGAGGGGGAGGAGCTCGTGAGCAGAGTTACTATCCGCGGAGCCACCATCGGTAGAGCGAAGTTATAAGTACTACTACTGCTAAGCGGCGTCGGTCGGGGTATTCGCTGTTTGCCGCCGCGCAGATCATAAACGACACAGACAGTAAGCCCACCACCGCGCAGATCATAAACGACGTTACTAGCACTACTAGACGTACCTGTCCATGCTTCTCGCAAATCATAAACGACGCAGACAGTAAGCTCATCGGGAAGCTACTGCCACTGCCTACTAACCGACTTCATCTCGCGCTCCCCCCCTACAGTTCCGCCCCACCCCCAGACTGACCCTTACACTGGCGGCTTTCCTTTTTGCGGTCCCCGCACCGCGTTCCGCCCACTTCCCTTGTTTCCTCGTCGGCATTTCAGCATTTCCCTTTCCCGGTCAATCCTCGCATGCCTCCCTTTCCGCCCTGCCCCGTTGTCTCACCATTATCCCCCCTCTGCCTCCCCCCGTCCGCGGGACTTCCGCTGCTCGAATCGGCGCGCAGTGGCGGTGCTGGCGGAGCTCAAGGCGGAGTGCGGCGCATTTCCGGGGAGTGCCACGTGGCAGAGCGGCAGAGAGTGCGCGCGGATGGCAGGAGTGACGTGCGACAAGAATGGCAACGTGCAGAAGCTGTACGTGACGTGGCCGAGCGTGCCAGGGCATCGCTTACTATGTGGGTGGGCATAGCAATCCAGTAATTTTCCACACAGTAGAGCGATGGCGCTCATATGCCTTGCCTCGTGCGTGCAGAAGCTGTACGTGGCCTAGCATGCCAGGGCGTACTAATCCACATAGTAAGGCGTGCCACTCACATGCCTTGTGCGTCCTCTCCTCTCTCCTCTCCTTCTCTCCTCCTCTCCTTCTCTCCTTGTCTCCTCTCCTCTTTCCTCTCTCCTCTCCTCTCCTCCTCTCCTCTCTCCTCTCTCCTCCTCTCCTCCCCTCTCCTCTCCCCCCTCTTCCTCTCCTTCTCTCCTCCTCGCCTTCTCTTCTCTTTCACTGCGTTCACTGCCACTCGCTTCAAGCATCGTGCATGCATGTTCACAACCATCGTCTCTGCTCGAGAATCATCACACATCTCCCTCCTTTCTATCTTAATCCCCCCATCACCCCCTTTTCCCCCAGTCCTGTCCCGCCCCTATCCCTGTCCCTGCCCCTCCCCCCCCCCCCCCTGTCATGGTCTGCCTGGGCAGTGTGTTGAGTCGGAGGCAGCTCACCGGATCGCTGCCCGAGTCCCTAGCCAACCTCACGGCCCTGCAACACATGTGAGCGCCCTGCCCTGCATTGCGGGGGACTCGTGCGAATGGGATGCGAGTGTCCGATTGTCCCTGCGTGCGAGGATCATCGACAAGTGTGTGCATGTGTGTGTGTGTATGTGTGTGTATGCGCGCGTGCGCGTGCGTTGGTGTGTCTGTGTGTGTGTGTGTGATAGAGAGAGAGAGAAAGAGAGAGAGAGAGAGAGAGAGAGAGAGAGAGAGAGAGAGAGAGAGAGAGAGAGAGAGAGAGAGAGAGAACCGTCGTCATGTGCAGCTGCTTTTACACACTTCACGGGCCGCCTGGCGGAAATCGGGCTCAGCCACAATCCTTCCAAGTGCGGGGCTTGGGCAGGCAGGACGCCCACGGACTACCGCCTGCCAGAGGGGGTCCCTCCCAGCAGTGACGGATTGAAGGTGCTGGGCAGCTACATTGGCACCTCCACGGCAACCACTGGCTTCATACGGTCCAGCCTGGAGGCGATGGGCGCACCGCTGGGATTGATTGAGCGGATGGAGCCACAGCTGGCGGGAATGCTGCTTTCACGGTGTATCTCCCGCCGAGTGTCATACCTAGCCCGCACAACCCCACTGCCTTTCCTGCCAAAGGAGGAGTGGTCTGAGTGGGGACGGAGGCTGCTGGAAACACTACTAACAGCATGCGCCATCAATCACCCTCGTGGGGACGAGGAGATTTCACACACGTGGGCGCAAGCCTCACTCCCTGTGTCGCTCGGTGGCCTTGGGTTGACGGACCCATCAGTAGAGGGAAGCTACAGCTTCCTCGCCAGCTACACGCAGGCGCAGCTGCTGCTTGACTCCCTGGACAGCGAGTGCACCGGCCCACTGGAAGTCACACGTGAGCTGATGCGTGGCCCCTAGACCGAGTCCTCCCCCTTGTCCGAATGGCTTGCGGAATGTGAAGGGGAACTGGCGCTTCCAGCCCAAGAAGCTCTTCAGGCTGAGAGATCGGCTCCAACTACAGGGAAATTACAGCACGGGCTGGCCACGGCCATCCAGGGCCAGCGCTATGCCGTGCAGGTGGAAGAGGTGCGGGGGATGAGCCCGAACCCCAACAACGGTCACACGCAGCGGATGCTGTCCCTATCAGGGTATGGGGCGGGGGATTGGTTAAACGCAGTGCCCATCCACTCCTCGCTCCGCCTTGAGGCTCCCCACTATGCCAACCCGGTCCAGTTTCGGCTAGGGCTCCCCTTTGCGGCTCCAGGGGTTTGCAACTGCTCCAAGAAGGTGGAGATCCCGGATAGACGGCTCCCGAATCACCTGCTTCGGTGCGGAACAGGGGGGGGGGCGCACAAACATACACAATGAACTCTGAGATGAGTGCGCGCGGATGGCGCAAGATGCAGGCTTCATGGTGCACATCGAGACGGCCGCCTTCAGCCCAGTGGAGGAGAAGAAGGCAGACCTGGCCTTACGCTGCCGCTCTACTGGCGCCGTCTACATCTGCGATGTGACGATAACGGACCCCATCAGCACCCGCGATGAGAACGCCACCAAGGGGAGGGGGTGGGCGGCACGGGAGGCAGCAGATAAGAAACACGGCCTTTACAAGGACCGCCCAAAGTGGGTGAAGTTCTTCCCACTAGCGGTCGAGACATACGGGTGTCCCTGCCCAGAGTCAGTAGACTTCCTGAAACTACTCGCAGAAACGGCTGCACGGCGGTTTTTCAACGCCGAGCCCACCTCCTACCAAGCTCCCAAGCTCTTACACCAATACCGGCAGCGGTGGTCAGTGGCTCTTCAACGTGGGCAGTCGATTGGGTACCTGGAAAAGTGCAACATAGCAGCAGCAGTTGAAAACCCGCAACTAGAAGCAGTGGGTGAGGCCCCGTCCCTTGGGGACTGCCTCGCGGTTCTTGATCCATCACTGGATCTCACTTAGAGGGTGGAGAGCAGGATGAGAGAATAGGAAGTATAGGCACTACTAGCCCCACCTTTGCGTTGACTTATACCTTGCATGCCTGTACGCTTTGCCTATCAATGAAAGGGCCATTAGAGAGAGAGAGAGGGAGAGAGAGAGAGAGAGAGAGGGAGAGAGAGAGAGAGAGAGAGAGAGAGAGAGAGAGAGAGAGAGAGAGAGAGAGAGAGAAGCACCTAGTGACTTAGCCTCTCAAGCCTCCCCTAGCCTCCCTAGCCTCCCTAGCCCTAGTATAAAGGCCCCAGGAGGCCTTGTGGCCTCTTCATTATTCATTTTTTTGGTTGGGTTTCTCTCCTAACCGAGCGGCTCGCGCCGGCCGCCTTCGGCGGCCGACGCTCGACAGCGCGGCCTTCGGCCGCGCGTGAGGGGTGGCAAGATACACACAAGACAAGCCACTAAAGGCACGCATACGAGCATGGAACACACAACACTAGCCTAGGTGAAGCATGGAGCAAGAGGAGCCTGCATCCACATGCGACCAGCTCCTGGGGCACGCGGACGCTACACTTGATCCGCGTCAAACACAGCAAGTAGCCCCGACAGCGTGCGATGCAACTCACGCACCAACACCGTGCCTGCGGCGATCGCCCCGGATCCAGTCCCTGCATGCAACAACCGCCGCAGCCCACGTACGGCCGAACCAAGGGGCTCGACCCCCGCAAGCCCACCCGGCGCGGGCGTGTCAGATTTATATGACATAGTTTCTGTAGGCTATAGTGGGGTAGCACATATGGGGTATAGGGTTTCTAGGGTTGCATTTCTACCCACTCTTCCTTAGTCATTTCATTCCTGTTTTCTTTACTTCACATGGTATAGAGCGGGTCCTACCTTAGGACCGTTTTTTTAGGGCCCACCGAAGCGCGCCCCGAGGCGCGCCTTTTTTAGCGACCCCCTCGGGTCGCCTTTTCCCTCGCGGCCCCGCTGTCCCTCAGACACGGCCCCGCCGCCTACCCTGACGCGGCTCCGCCGCCTCCCCTGACGCGGCCCCGCCGCCTCCCCTGACGCGGCTCCGCCGCCTGTCTGACGCGGCCCCGCCGCCTCCCCTGACGCGGCCCTGCCGCCTCCCCTGACGCGGCTCCCCCGCCTCCCCTGACGCGGCACCGCCGCCTCCCCTGACGCGGCTCCGCCGCCTCCCCTGACGCGGCCCTGCCGCCTACCCTGACGCGGCTCCGCCGCCTCTCCTGCCGGCCCGCCACTGCACCTGCCGGCCCGCTGCTGCACCCAGCGGCCCGCCGCCTCTGACGGCCTCGCCGCTGCACCTGCCGGCCTCGCTGCTGCACCTGCCGGCCCGCCACTGCACCCTACGGCCCGCCACTGCACCCTACGGCCCGCCGCCTGCACCTGCCGGCCCGCCGCTGCACCTGCCGGCCCGCCACTGCACCTGCCGGCCCGCCGCTGCACCTGCCGGCCCGCCACTGCACCGGTCAACCCGCCGCTGCACCTGACGGCCTCGCCCCTGCATCTCCTGGCCGAGCCGCTTCAGCAGCCGAACCGCCCGTGAGCCGAGCCGCCCGACGCCGAGCCGCCCGGGACCCGAGCCGCCCTGCCGCCGAGCCGCCCGGGAGCCGAGCCGCCCTGCACCCGAGCCGCCCAGCCGCCGAGCCGCCCGCGAGCCGAGCCGCCCTGCGCCCGAGCCGCCCAGCAGCCGAGCCGCCCAGCACCCGAGCCGCCTTTCTGCATACCTACACGACCTGCCCTGCCTGGTGAGCACAGTCCCACTGACACTGCGAGCTCTTTCCCTGCTGCTTGCACTTCGTCGCTGTCGTCGCCATGGCTACCCCTAGTGTCCTAGCTTTTGACGCTGAGGGTCGCGCCATTGATTTTGAGGTCTGGTTAGACGACCTGCAGCTGTTCTTACAGTGCGACAGGGCTGACGACCTTTCTCTCTTTGATCTCACCTCTGGCGCCTCTCCTGCTCCTGCTGCTGATGCTGATCCCGCTGTCCGCTCTAAGTGGGCCACCCGCGATGCTGCTGCACGTTTTGCTGTGCGTCGCCACCTCCCTACCTCTGAGCGTGCGCACTTCAGTCAGTACAAGAGTGCTCAGACCTTGTACGACGCTGTAGTTGCGCGCTACTCCTCCCCTGCCACTGCTGCACTGAGCCGTCTCATGCTTCCCTACCTCTTTCCTGACCTCTCTGCCTTTCCCACTGTCGCTGACCTCATTACGCACCTCCGCACTAGTGACACTCGCTACCGCGCCGCCCTTCCTGCTGAGTTCTGCGCTAAGAACCCCCCCCCCATGTACATCGCTCTCTACTACGTAGTCGCGCGCCTCCCTGACTCCCTTCGAGTCGTCAGGGACCACTTTCTCGCAGTCTGTCCCACAACCCTCACCGTCGACCTCCTCGAGAAGGCCCTCCTCGCAGCGGAGAAGAGCATCGTCGCTGTAGGTGCTTCTCGTGGTGACCCTCGCACCCCCATCTTTGAGGGGTGCTCTCCTTCCCCCTTGCTGCCCTCTGTTGCCTCTGCTGCTACTGCCGACCTACTTGGTCTTGAGTCGGTCGGCGCGGCGTCTGCCCCTAGTGCGAGACGTCGCTCCAGCAAGGGCAAGGGGGGCAAGGGCGCGGGTGGAGCTGGAGGGGGCGGTGGCGGTGGCGGCGGTGGCGGCGGAGGGAGTGGGGGTGGCGGCGGGACTAGTGGCGGGGGTGGTGGTGGTGGTGGCATCAGTGGCGGAGACGGTGGTGGTGGTGCCAGCGGTGGTGGTGGAGGCAGCGGCGGTGGTGGAGGCGGCGGAGGTGGAGGCGGTGGAGGCGGCAGCGGAGGAGGCGGTGGTGGTGGAGGAGGTGGAGCTGGTCGAGGTGGTACCCAGCAGCGTAGCGGAGGTGGTGGTGGCCAGCGCTCGCAGCGGCAGCAGCAGCAGCGCTCGCGGGACATCCCTCCGCCTCAGCAGCTTCGTGAGTGGTACGCTGGGCGTCAGAGGGGTGGGGGTACTGGTCCCTGCACCTACGTTCTTCGTTCCGGCGACCGCGCGGGTGAGCAGTGTGGGGGTGCCCACGCCGCCCAGCGCTGCTTTGGCCGCCTGACGGACGCTTGGCGTCAGCAGTTCCCTGGGGCTAGTGAGATCCCTCGCTG